GAACCCAGCTCAGCTCTGAGACAAAGCCCTGTTCTAGAACTCAGGCCAGCTCTGAGACCAAGCCTGTCTTTAGAACTCAGCTCATTTCCAAGACCAAGTCCTCTTCTAGAATTCAGGCCATTTCTGCGATTGAGGCCAGCTCTAGAGTTCAGCCAAGCCCTGACAGCAGACCAAGTTCTGGAACCCAGACAGATTTTAAGATTCTGCTCAGTTTGGAGATTAATCGCAGTTCTGGAACCCAGTCCAGCTCTCATCCTAAGCCTGGCCATAAAACTCCACCTGTCTCTATGTCTCAAGACACCTGCGTGGCCCGGCCCTACCTGGACACTCAGGCCAGCCTGGGAGCACCACTGAGTTCTGGACCCCAGGTGAGACTCCAGAATCAGCCCAGCCACAGAATTCAAGCCAGCTCAGGATTAAAGGTCAGCTCTCAGACAAAACCCCATCCAAGAACTCAGGCCAGCCCAGAAAGCTGGCCCCATGCTGTCGCTCAATCCAGAACCAAACCTCAACTCTACTCTAAAACCCATTTGCTTCCAACTACCTGCCCCCGTCCTGAGTCCAAGTCCAGCTCTGAGACTGAGCTCAGCTCTAGAACCCAGCCTACAGCTACAACGAGGCCCGTCTCCAGAATCCAGACCAGCACCGGCTCGGCCCCTGCCCCTGAGCCCAGCTCAGGAACGCGGCAATGTGCCGAGCCCCAGTCTCCCTGCAGGGCATGGTCCAGCTCTGGGACCCAGACAGACCACACAGCCTGGCCCAGCTCCAGAGCTCAACACAGCCCCAGAACGCAGCTCAGTTCTGGAGCACAGCCTGGTTCTAAAAACCCAGCCGGCTCTGAAATGCAGGCAGCAGCTGGGACCCAGGTGAGTTCTAGAACCCAGCTAAGTGCCGGAGTCCAGTCTAGTCCTGCTGCGACCCAGTCCAGTGCAGCCCTGGGGCTGGGCTCCAGGACCCTGCACCATCCAAGAGCTCCACCAACCTCTGGGACTCCACTGCCTCCAAACCCCTGCCAAGCACGAGGTCCCAGCTCAAGGCCACACCCCAGGCCACCTCTGGTCCTCAGGGGGACTTAGGGAGGCGCACCGGCTCTGGAGCACAGACTGGCTCAGGGACTCGGGCAAGGGCAAGGGCGCGGCCCAACTCTGAACCCCCTTCAGCTCCAGCACTCCCCGCGGCTCTGGAGCTGCGCCCAGCTCTGAGACTCTGCCCAGCCCCGGAACCCAGGCCAGTCCCGGATTCAGTTCAGCTCAAAAGCCCAGCTTTAGAGCCCCCTCAGCTCGGAGGCCCAGCTGGCTCCACCCACCGACCCCCACCTTGACCCTGGAGTTCAGCCGGCCTGGCCCCCCCACTCCCCAGGCCCATTGCCCAAAGCCCAACTCCAGCCCCTGGGCCTCTGCCTCAGCCCAGGATCTGGGACATGAAACCCCCCAGGAGCCAGCCCTTTCCCCCAAGCCCCAGTTGGGGCCCCAGATGTCCACCCGACCCACCATATCTGCCACTTCAAGTCCTGTCCCCAGGGTGGTCCTGGGAGTGCTCAGACCCTGTGCCCCTCCCCCATGCTCAGGGAGTCAGGGTCCCTCCCCCCGCGATGGCTCCTGCAGCCTCCTCCTCACCTGTCCCTCCCAGCCTGCCCCCCAGATGAGGCAGGTGACCTCCTTTCCCAGCAGGTGTGGAGGAGGTAGAATGGGGCTTGGGTTTCAGGTGCCTGGAGGTGTAAGCGGACCCGGCGGCGGGAGGGGGAGGCGGCGGCTCTGCGCACCCTCAGGGCTCCTGGCAATAAAGGCACCTGGCACCCTGCAGCAGCCCTGTGTCACTGTGGGGCGGCCAAGGAGAGGGGGCTGGGCATGGGTGGTCAGCGAATGCCCGCGAGCGCCTGCTGTGTGCCGTGCACTTATTGAGCTCCTCCTGGGCCTCCGAGTACCTGCCCGGGTCCCAGTGCTGTGCGGGGGGCCCCTGCGCGTGCCTGCGGGGACGGAGCCAGCTTCCGCACCCTCTTGCCGCCGACAGCCCCGCGCCCTCCTGGTCGAGGCCGGCCGCGTCCGGAAGCGAAGGAACACACAGCAGGGCCCAGAGATATATTTCGGCATGAAGGGGGTCCCCGCTCACACCCCAGGCAGAGCCTCCTTAGGCGGGGTTCGGAGGGAGCCCCCGGCCCCCAGCGTCCAGGTCCTCGGCCGCGGCTTCCGCACCTCCGCGGGGGTTTCGGGAAGGGGAGCCCCGCGTTCTGAGCTCCCCCAGCCTTGCTCCTGGCCCCTGCTGGGGAGAAGGGGACCTCAGAGAGGGCGGCCCCTGCTCCCGCGGCTCTGGTCCGCGGTCCACTCGGAGCCCCAGCTCCTGGGCCATGGGGACAGGCGGGTGCCAGGTGACAGGGGACGGGGTTATGGGGGCCGGTCCTTTCTGGCCCTACTGCAGCCTGGCGCCCTGGGCCGGCGGCGGCCGCAGGGAGAGGGACCTGGGCCGGGCGCTGAGGCGCGGGTGCAGGCGGCGCAGCACTGCGCGGCGGAACAGGATGTACACCCAGGGGTCCAGGATCTGGTTCCAGGTGGCCACGCGCAGGTAGATGAGCAGCTGCTGCTCCGTGGTCCGGGACAGCTGCCCGGCCGGGCTCATGGCAGGCGGGTTCTGCAGCACCGTCTGGGCGATGAAGACCTGCGAGGGCCAGGGCGTTAGCGGGCAGCAGGCTCTGAAATGCACCTTGCTGGTTCACCTGGGGGGAACTGCTTGACCTCTCTGAGCTGCTGCTGCTGTGTCCATGAAATAGCACCTGGGCGAGAGCAGGCACCGAAACCACACTGCCGCCCTCCCCCTCCGCGGTCTGAGCCCCCCCACACACTGGGACGCACTGCTGTATTAACTCACATCTCACATAAGTTTTTGTGTCCTGGGGATGGGACCCAGGGGCGACAACCGCTGAGCCACACCCTCAAACCTTTTCAATTTTTATTTGAGACACGGTCTCACGAAGCTGCTGAGGATCTTGCTAAGTTGCAGAGGCTGACTTCGAACTTGCAATCCTCCTGCCTCAGCCTCCTGAGTCGCTGAGATTACAGGTGTGTGCCTCCTCGCCCGCCAAAAGACAGTTATTTTACACATGCTGTATTTCTGCATGCTGTACTTGGTTATTTCAACACATTTCACTAAATATGAAGTTTATAGTCATAAAATGTAGGAGAGATGTTTTACTAAATTACTGTACCACATGATTTTTGAGAGTGACATAATGATTACATTGTGAATGTAATTACTAGTGATAATAACTCAAGGCAGGCATATAATTACATAACATGAGGAATCATGCATGATGTCGTCAAACCTTGTTTAATAATGCGACTATTAGTTTTGATAACAAAGTAAATATAATTGTCTTCTATTGTATAATTACAACTAATTATAATTAAAGTGTATAGTATGCTAAAATAATTCGTATTTTATTAAAATGTACTGCTACATTAAAATTGTTTCCTAAGCATCTACTGTGTGCTGGGTGCCCCTGGGGACAGAGCGGAGGGAAGGCAGACCCCAGTCCCACCCTCACCAACCTGAAGCTGGGCTCCTCCAGCCTGTCCTCCCCGCAGCCGCCAGAGGGCGCCTGCGAGCACCTGACTCGGGCCCCTCCTCTGCGCACAGCCCTCCAGGGCTCCCACCTCCCACCGCCCACGCCACCGTCTCTGCCGCGCCCACATGGGCTCCTCACTGTGCTCCCAACATGCCAAGCTGCTCCCCAGGGCCTTTGCTGGGCTGGACCCTCGGCCTGGAGCGCTCGCTCCTCCCCAGCTCTCCACACAGTTCACCCCTAAGGTCTGCAGTAGCCTCCTCCTCCCCGTCCTCGGCCTCCAGGCTCCTTTTTTTTTAAACTGGGGATTTGACTCCGGGATGCTCTAACCCTGAGCCACCTCCCCAGCCCTTGGATGTTGGAGTCCTCTGGCCTCGGCCTCCGCAGGCGTCACAGGCACGCCCCTCCACGCCCAGAACGGGCCCTGCCTGTTCCCAGCCCTGGGGGGTGGGCTCTGAAGGATGCCTAGGAGTCCTAGGAGTTCGCCTACTGGGCAAACCAGGGCGGCTCTGGGCAGTCAGTTTTGCCCCCCGTGGTGTCTGCCCATGGACCGGCTGGTGCGCGGTCAGTGCTCAGTGAGCGTCTGCCAACGCACGGAAAGGTGGGCATCTTGTCCCTTTTGTGTGTGTGGTGCTGGGCGGATCCCAGGGCCTCACGTGCCCACCTGTGTCTGGTAAGTGTCCACCAGGATCAGTGGCCCAAGGTGCCATCTGTTAACCCCTCCCCCCTCAGAGGGCACCGCCAGAGGCAGTAAGCCCCTGGGCAAGGCTGGGGCCCGAGCTTGGCTCTGACCTGGGCTTCTCGTCCTGACTCCCGTGGGTGTGGGAAAAAAATAGCACCCAAATGGCAGACAACAGCCGTTCAATGATGGGACCTCAGACCTTCGGGGCATGAAGAGCGGCCTGGGCATTCCTGCCCCCAGCCAAGCTCCCCGACCCAGGGACCATCTGGCCCGGCTGAGGTCCAGCCCGGCCTCGGGCACCAGGTAGCATCGGGAAGTGCGGATGGCCTGGTTCCACCCAGAATGCTTCCCCAGTTTCATCTGGAAGGTGAACTCCCACTCGTCCTCCTGAGCCTGAGCTTTGATGCCCTCCCCGGGACGTCGAACCCGGGCCCCAGTGGCAGCCTGGAACCCCCCAGGCTCTCAGTGCCCGGAGGCTCCCCTGCCCAGTCACCGAGGCGCCTGGAGCCTCCCCGGAGCCCTGCCCACACTCACCAGCAGCGGCATCCAGCAGACGCTGGCCACCAGCATGATGCCCAGGAGCTGGACCATCATCTCCACCTCGCAGTCGCGCGGGCGCTGCTGGGCGGCCTCCTGCCCGTGGTAGACGTGGCACAGGGTGGCCACGCTGATGGTGTTGAGCACGAAGGACAGCCCGACCGACAGGCCGCCGAGCAGCGCGAACAGCAGCCCGAAGGCCGCGTCGCCGAGCTGCGGCCCCAGCGTGAGGAAGCACCAGGAGCCGGGGTACTGCACGGTGTAGTGGCCCACGCCCAGCAGGGGCAGCAGCCCCAGCGCCAGCGCCGCCGCCCACACCAGCCCCACGGTGGCCCAGGCGCGGCGCTGCGAGGCGGCCGCCGAGCGGGAGAAGGGCCGGGTGATGCCCAGGTAGCGCTCGGAGGCCATGGCGGCCCCCAGCAGCAAGGGACACAGGCCAAAGAAGACCATGGCCACGCCCATGAAGTGGCAGAGGCCGCAGCCGGGGTCCGCCGTGCGCCAGTCGAAGAGCGCGGCGTGCCGGGACACCACGAGGACTCCGGTGACCAGAAGCCCCAGGAAGTCGGTGAGGACCAGGCCGCCCAGCAGGATGAGGAAGGGGGACCGCGGGCAGCAGCTGCCCTGCCGCGCGCCGGCCAGTACGCTCAGCGCCAGCAGGTTGGAGGCCAGGCCCACGGCGCAGAAGGAGGCCGCGAACCAGGGAGAGGCCACCAGGCGACGCTCCTCGGGCGTGGCGTTTGTGGGGCGGAAGCAGGGCCCCAGGACGCTGCTGTTGGACCACATGGCGCTGGAGCCGCGTCACCACCCCATCAGGCGCAGGCTGCAGGCCGGCCGGCGGGCGCTGGGGCGGCACACCTGGGAGGCAGAGAGGGGAAGGCTGCACTCGTCCTGCGCGGTCTCCCCGTGACTGTGGCGAACTCCCGCACAACCCTCAACACCCCAGGGCACGCGCCCCTCCGCCCTCCCGTCCCACAGGTGCGTCCTCATCCGCTTGGACCGCCCCGCGGAGGCCACCGCCACGCCCACTCCAGTCTCACCGTCTCCAGGGCTCTCGAGGGCTCAGGCCAGGGCCCCTCCTCAGGGGACACCAGGGGACGTTTTCTGCGTCCTAGAGAAAGGCAGGGAGCCAGGGTCGAACTCCAGCCCCGGTTCCCACCATGGCGCCGGGGGGTGGGGGCTCCCCTCCTGAGCCTCCCGCACACCCAAGCTGGACGTGGCTGACCCCAGCGCACGCTTCAGTCACAGAGATGGAGACCCGGCCTCCGGCTGCAGCTAGAGTGCCAGCCGGCTGCTAGGCCGCCCTGGGAAGGCCCGTGGGGTCCGTCCCCTGGGTGTGCTGGGACAAGGCGTGTCGCTGCCTGGCCACACTCTCCTGGGACGCATAGTGTGAGGCCGCTTTCCGTTTCTGTGCGTCACTTTTATAATAAGAAATAACCCTGAAGTTCCAGTTCCATGTGGGAACAAAGAGCCAGCTTGGAGGGCAGGGACCCACCATGAGGGCAGTGGGCACCAGGGTGGGGCCCAGGGAGAACCCAACACCCAGCTGCTCAGACACCACGTGGGCTGCGGGTCGGCCACACAGCGAAACCAAGGCCAGATGTGGAGGAGCGCGAGCAGCTCCATCAACAGCCAGTGCCCTGCAGGCCAGGGCTCGGAGGCCGGGGCCGAGGACCAGGAGTGCCCAGCCAGCCTCAGCAACTCAGTGAGGCCCTGTCTCAAAATAAAACCAGAGGGCTGGGGACCCGGCTCGGTGGTTCAGTGCCCCGGGTTCAAACCCTGGGACCAAAAAGAAAGAAAGAAAGAAAAAGAAAGAAAGAAAACTGGGCTGCTGGTTCCTGAGGACACCACAGAGGACAAGAGAGTCCAGAACGGCCCTGAGTTGCCCGCCATCCCCAGGGGCCAGGGCTGGACCTGCCCTGGGCGGAGCAGTGAGGGGCACAGGCGGCTCCGGGGATCCGGCAGAGGTGGCCACTTTGTTGGAGCTGATCTGAGGTTGACCGGGGCTGCTGACCAGCGGCAGGGCCTGTGGGCAGCAGTCGCCTCAAGCTGCCCAGGCCAGTTCTCATGCCCTCTCCCTGCCTGGACTCCACATCCCTGCTTGGAGCCTCCATTTCTCTTCCTGTAAAGGGGGCTGAGGGGCCGGGGCTTCAGGGCACAGGCCCACACTCCTGCAGCCTGGGAGAGGGTGGCCGTCTGGGGCTCACTGCTGGAGGCTGAGCGGGCGGCCACTGGCCTCGCCCCAGTTCATCCTGGACCCGGCATGCTCCTCTGGCTCGGTTCCTCCCTGCAGAGCCTTATGAATCACCCAGCTCCTGATGGCCACCATGGGCGTCCCTCCTGCCAAGAGCCAGGGCCTCTGCCACCGGGTGGGTGGCCCCCCAGCTGGGGAACTGAGGCCCAGAGCCACAGGACACTCCCTGAGACCACCGAAGGGAGGCCCTGTGCTGTGGCGGGCAGGAGTGCGCTGCAGGTCAGATGGGACTGGGTCCCAGGGGACCCCCAGCCGCCAAGTGCTTTTCTGAACGTTGCCTTTGGCCACGGCCCAGCCCAGCCTCTGCCTGGAGTGGCCGCAGGTCCTGTGCCTCCTGCCCCCCACTCTGGGGCCGCAGGAGCCCCGCTCACCCTGGACGCACACCCAGGCGCCTCACACTGCTGGTGGCTGGAGCCGGGCCTGACCCAAGCCCTTGGCCTGGGGGAGGGGGAGAACCGTCAGGGAGGCCCCCTCCGCCCTCCCTGTCCTGGGCTCAGGTAAAATGGCTGGCGGGCCAGGAGGCGGACCTGCCGTGGCCTCCTGCGTCAGCCAGGATGGGCAGCAGGGGACCCCATCTGTGGAGGACCCACTGAGCTGTGTGGCCCTGGGAGAAGCTCCTCCCTCTACCTGCGGAGGGGCGGGGCCTGAGCGCCTGCAGCCAGAGCTCTGGGTTCTGGAGTTCTCCTGGGCCCTGGTTCTGGAGTCCAGAGGCCTCGGGTTCCTGAATCTGAGGGCTGAGCTTCTGGAACTCGGGTGGGCGCGTGGCCGTCCCGGGTTCCTGGACTCTCTCAGCTCCTGCTCCTCCTGGGGACAGATCCAGAGCCCTGCTGGCTGCCTCTGCTCCGGGTGGAATGTGCCTTCTGGTTCCCAGCCCCAGGCCCCTCCTCTGATGGGCCCCCTCCCGCCAGCGTCACCTCGCAGCCATGGCCTCAGCCTGGCCCTCTGCCTCTCCACACCCAGCCCCCGCCCTGGCCCCACATCCTGACCAGCCCTGCTGCCCCAGAGAGACGCTGGCCTCAGTCCCCTCTGGACCCCTCCAAGCTGGGGTGCAGCTCAGCCTGGCCTTCGCCTTCCCCTCTGTGAAATGGGGGTGGGCAGCTCGTTCCTGCAGGCATCTGGCTGCTCTGCCCCAGGGCATCTGCCTCTGCCCTGCCTGCCCTGGGGGCGGCCGGCAGGAGTGCAGTGACCTTGACCTCTCAGGACTCCTGAAGCCTCTGACCATGACCCAGGCCAGTGCCTTCAGCGGGACCTGCAGACCTGGCCAGCCCTGGCCCCCCACTGGACTCTGATCCAAATGCCCACAGCCTGCACCCCGCACACCCTCGCCCCTCCCAGAGAGTCAGCACTGACCAGTGCCTGACACGGGAACACCAGGTGCTGCCTGCCTCCCCTCGCCACAAAGCACAGCTTCCGGGAGTCTTTCCTGTTTGTGACATCAGTAGGCCCCCATGTGGATGGAGGGTGTTGCAGGCCTTCCAGAGCAGTTACACTCGGTGGGGAGCCTCACTGGGTCCCCCATCTGAGCCTCAGTTTCCTCATCTACCCAGTGGGGTTCCCCCACCACAGCACAAGGGGCCGGGTGTGGACCTGGGTGCTACTGGAGCCCAACACTAGAGTGATCACACCAAAGGCACATGTGCCCCGGCACTCGGTGCAGACGGTAGACGGCTGGGCACACAGCTCAGCAGACAGACCTGCACACAGGAAGACACACACTCAGAGCACTAAGACAAGCAGCCGAGCCTAAGGGGACAGGGACAGGCAGGCACACAGATGAACAGCAAGCCACTCACCCATGGCCCCGGGGCACCCTCCCCAGGCTGGGCACACCAGCAGGCAGCCCTCAGGATGCCCGCTGGCCCTGCCCAGGCCAAGACAGGAGCAGGGCAGGGTGCCAAGCCCCCTCTGTGCCAGCAGGGACACAGGCACCTCACCAGTGGCCACGCCTACGAGACATACCCCGCAGACGCCCACCCCGCAGCCCGCGCAGACCTCACCCGGGCGGGGTCCTGGGAGCTGGGGAGCCCGAGTCTGTGCAGGGCGGCCCCGTGTGGTGCAGGCCCTGCAGTGGGTCCGGCCAGGAGCAGGTCGCGGGCAGCCGGGCGGGGTGGGTGCGGGCCGCTGGGCAGCCTGTGCTCCGGCTCTCGCGTCCTGCCTCCCAGTCTCTGAGTCTCTGTCCTTCGACACTCACCAGCCCTGCCTCTGGCCTCGCTGGCCACGCCCCTCAGGCCCCGCCAAAGGTCGCTGGGGGGCCCCACGCCGCCTGGGACATCCCTGGGGCTGGGGTCGACAGTGGGTCCTGAGGCTGCAGGGGAAGGGGTGCGGAGCCAGGGGGCAGGGGTACCTCTCGGGAGCTGGGCCCGGGTCCCCGGCCGTCTCGGGGGCCTTCCCCGCGGCTCCCGCGTTTTGTTTTTCAAGGTCTGAGCCCCGAGGGGGCGGGGCGAGCGGCTCCCCAGAGGCCCAGACCTGGGGCAGGGGCCCCGCTGGCCAACCAGGCGGGATCGGGTCTGATACACAGTAGGTGCCTAATATTTATCGTTTTGAGGCCCCTATGGTGGTGCATGTGGAAGATGCAGGGTCAGTGGGGGAGGGTGACCTGTCCCTCCAGCTAGACCCTGGATGAGAAAGGCCCCTGTGAGGAGCAGCAGGGGATCCCGGGGTGGGGGCTGGCCTTCCAGAGGTGGCTGTGGGGACAGGAGGGAGGCCAGGAGGCCGAGGCGGGGCTGGGCGCGCTCCCCAGGCAAACGGCTTGTCACCAGCCCCCCTCCCCCGCCCACTCCAGGATGTGGAGGCAGGGGAGGTCTAGGCCGGGCCTGGCACTGGAGAGGGCGGGTCGCACAAGCCCTGGAGAGGTCCTGGCAGAGGCGGCCTTGCAGGGGTCCTTCCTGCCCAGGGTGCCTGCCCTGTGCTGAGGGGCCCACAGCCTGGGTCACCCTTTGAGGCCGTGCACAGGGAGGGGCTGGGCTGGGGGTGCTGCGCCTCCTTGGCCTGCCTTTGCCCAGAGCTTGGCTCCATGGGGTCTGGCGTGTCAGGATGGCCATCCGGGCCCTGACCCTGCTCCACCCGTCCCCTAGGCTCCCAGGAGGAGGATGGGCTCCTGCCTGGCCTCCCCTCAGTGTCCGGAAGCCCCTTCCCCGCCCACCGCTCTTCCTGCCTCCGGCGCCAGCCCACACTGAGGGCCTCTGGAGGGCTGAGCCCGGTCGCATCCCACTGCATCTTCTTAATGTCTCTGCATCTTCTTAAGCCTGGCTCCTCTCTGGCTGGCAGGGAGACCCCTCCACACCCAGGCACTCGGCAGGCCCCACCCTCTGAAAAGCCCCTCTACCCCACACTCATGCCCCCCACGAGGTGGGCCTGCCCTGGAGGATTCCCAAGGCTGGACCCTCCAGCCCTAGGCAAGGCTGGGCCAAGGGACTTAGCAGGGCTGCGGGGTGAGACGGGCACTGTGTGGGAAGGGACGCAGAGACCACCGTGCCTTTGTGGGCTGGAACGTGTGGCAGGGGAAGGAGCTGCAGGGCCTGATTTTGGAGGGGGAGAGCAGGAGGCACCATGGGACTGGTCACAGGGAGGGAGACAGGCAAGCAGGGCTCAGCTGCAATCTCAGCAGCTCAGGAGGCTGAGACAGGAGATTAAAAGTTTGAGGCCAGAGCTGGGGTCGTGGCTCAATGGCAGCGTGCTCGCCTAGCATGCGTGAGGCACTGGGATCCATTCTCAGCACCACATAAAAACAAAAATTGTGTCCCCTAAAAACTAAACAGTTAAAAATAAAGAAATATAGTGTAAGTTTGAGGCCAGCCTCAGCTACTCTGCAAGGCCCTAAGCAATGTCGTGAGACTGTCTCAAAACATAAAAAGGGCCTGGGTGTGGCTCAGTGGTGGAGCACCCCGAGTTCAATCCCCAGGACCAAAAGAAAAGATGAGGCAGGAAGAGGGTGAGGGCTGGGGCCGGGCAGGATGAAGGAAGGCTGAGGGGGCCATTTCGCGCACTCTTCCTCTGTCCCCAGCCCAGTGATAGCTAGGACAATGTCTCCTCTGGGAGAGGCTGAACGGGGGCCGCAGGACACTTGACGTTCCGCTTCTTTTTTCAGTGCTGGGTTGAACCCAGAGCCTCACTCGTGCAAGGCAAGTGAGGAGTGGCAGGGTCTCACCAAGTTGCCCAGACTGGCCTCCAATTTGCCATCCTCCTGCCTCAGTCTCCCGAGGGCTGGGCTGACTGGTGTGGCCACAGCACCTCCTCTCAAGGTGCCTCTGCAAGGTGGGAGTAAGGGAGTGTGTCCGTGTGGCGTAGGAGGGGGGGGATGGGCCCAGAGAGAGGGTGGCCCAGGCCACCTGTGGGACCTGACCTGGGGGTCTGGGATCCCTCCACCCTGGGCTCGGGGCTGGAAAGCTTCTAGCCTTGCTTGGTCCCTACCCACACGCAGGCGCACAGGAGGCTCAGGAGGGAAGAGGCATGGTGGCCTTGGGGCCAGATGGTGGGAACAGAGGCCAGGCTCAGGATGTGCCCCCTGTGGCCACGGTTTCCTGCGGGGAGCAGCTATTCTTAGCCTTGAACATCTCCAAGGGAAGGAAGAGGCTGGGTGGGAGCCGGGGCAGCTGGGTGGGTGCAGGACCGCCCCAGCCCCAGCTGGCCCATGCCCCCCGTGCCGCCCTGTGAGGGTCCAGTTCCTTGGCTTGGCATGCAGCCCCTCTGTGTCCCTGCCCCAGCTCACCTGTCGCCCTGTCCCCTCAAGGCAGGCCTCGCCCTCTCCTGATGCCACTCCCCCAGGGAGCCCAGTCCTCCAGGGCCTCCTCCTTGGTGCTCCTGTCTCCCTCCAGAGGCCCACATCCTGGGCCCCCAGGTCAACACCTTGCTAGGACCACAGGCAGGTGTGGTGAAGAGGAACCAGGGCCAAGGACATGGGTGTGCACACCGTAACAGCAGTCCTGGTGGCACCTGCAGTCAGCCACACCATCAGCTCCGTTTCCACTGTGCTCTGCGCTGGGTGACACAGGCCAGGAATCACCTGATGGATGAGTGACGTCCAGTGGTCCCCACTCTGCACCAGCTCAGCCTGGCGTGGAGGGTGCCCCTCTGAGTGTGGGCAGCACAGGGACGGAACCCCAGGGCCCACGTGCTGGGCTCATGCCCCACCATGTGGCTGCCCGAGCCCTTCTTTACAAAGCAGTCTACGCTGCCCGGTTGTCTTTGAACTTGAGAACCTCCTGCCCCTGCCTCCCAGTGGCCGACTAGGTGTGGGCATCCCTGGTCAGATGCACTGGCTGCCCTCAGTGGCCATGCCTGTCATCCCAGCAGCTCAGGAGGCTGAGGCAGGAGGATCACTAGAAGTCCTCCGCACTCCTGGACATGGTGAACACTTGGGGAGGTGCCTGCACCAGGGGAAGCTAGGCACTGCAGCTGCAGCCTGGGCAGCTGGAGGCAGGGCAGGCCTGGCATGCCAGGTACCAGGCAGCATCCCTGGTGGGTGCCTGCTCCATGCCAGGTGCTCCCTGTCACAAGAGCGACACAGTCCTGGACATGGCTGGGCATCACCCTCCTGAGAACCCTGGCCTGGACGAGCAGCAGCCTGTGACACTCCTTCCTAGGGCTTTGGGGTGGCCACAGCCGCCCTGGGAAGTGGAGTCAGGAGGCCCAGGGACTAGGCCGGCTCCTCCCAGAAGGGCTGCCGGCTATTTTTAGGCACGGTGGCTGTTTGAACCGCCCTGGTTGTGACACTACACCATGGCACTCAGATGTCAGAGACAGGGCTCGGCGGGGCGGGGCCCTGAGCCGCTTGGCAGCACTCTGCATCCCGGAGCAGCCTCATCCAGACGCCCTGGGCACCAGGCCATGGCGAGAGAAGGAAAGCAAGAGTTCTTCCCACCTAAGAAAATCTTTTTAGAAAACAAAGTAAAATCATCTCCAGGTCAAAGAGGTGGCGGGCGGGTCCTGGGGGAACAGGCCCCTGGGCTGCTGGGGAGGAAGGTCAGGAGTGGGGCTGGGGCTCCTGTCTGATCCTCAACCACCTGAGAAAAGGGGATGCAGGGGCACCTCCCGGGGGACTGTGTGGCAGAAACCCACTGAAGCCCCGGACCAGGTCATAGGGTCGTCTCCCAGATGGTGGCCAATGTGTCCCATCACAGGGGTGGGGACTAATCCCACAGCTCCCGGGGCCCTGGCTGCACAGCCTGGTCTCTTCTGGAAGGTGTGATGGTCCGGCCTCTGCTGCTGCCACCCTGAGTATGGCCAGCCTGTGGGAGGGAGGTCCCGGAAGAACCTGTCCAGGGGCTGACTGGCCCTGTGACAGCTTGGAGGCTGGACCTTGCCCCACATCTCCCAGGACCAGCAAGCAGCCCCATGTCTGGGCCCCTCTCCTGCTTCCTGCCCAGCTGGCCACCCTCTGCACTTTCCCAGGGTGCAGGCTGGCCTCAGGCCCCAAGCAGCCTCCTGGAGGGGGAGGTGTGAGTGATCGCTGCCAGGGTCCCTATGGAGACCTGAACACGTCCTGAACACGTCAGGACACTGCCGGGTCATCTTGTCCTGTTGTCTCCTCAGCTCTGAAGCAGATTTTGTGGCGACACACTTCACAAACGGGAAACAGGGCCAGGGGCAGGTCCGCCGTGGTCCCTCAGCCTCGCGCCGCCCCCAGGCAGGGCCCCGCTGTCACCGCCGGTAGCGGTAGCGCTTGAAGTGGAACCAGAGCTGGAAGATGCCGTTGGCGAACTGACAGCGGAAGCCGTGGCGGTGCGAGTACTCCCACTCGCGGTTGACGATCTTGAAGGCGATGTCCTCGTAGGGCGGCCCCGCGTGGAAGCGCAGGATGGCGAAGTCGCGGTTGTCGGCGCAGGCCTCCAGGAAGTACTCGGGCGTGGAGCGCTTGTCGATGAGGTCGGGGTAGAAGATGTTGAACTTGTAGCCCTGCACGATCTTGGGCGGCGGGTTGTCGAAGTCGTAGTGCGTCTGGTTGTACTTGTTC